ACTTCCCTTACTTCCGGTGTCCACCACCGGGTTCGGGGATTGCCGCCACGACAGGCACCGGAGACCTTACGACCGCAGCTTCGGACAGCCGCATCAACAATGGAAGTGGAGAACATAGTCCACTCAGACTCAATGTCTCCAGCCTCCCTCGGGACCTGTTCAAAGCTCTCCCGGAGGTGGGAGTTGAAGGCCCCCCTCACCGGGGATTCCGCCAGACGTTCCCAACAGACCCTCACGATACGTTTGGGTCTGCCAGGTCTATCCAGCTTTAACCCCCGTAAGCGGAGCCAACTCACCACCAGGTGGTGATCAGTTGAAAGCTCAGCCCCTCTCTTCAAACTAGTGTCCAATACATATTAGTGCACTGATATTAGTATATTAGTGGAGTGATATAAAATGAGTAACATTCAACTTTAAAGGACATGCTAACATGAACTTCTTCAATTCTATTCAACGTCTCATAAATGACAGTGGAAATATGTAATATCTTCAAAGGTACAATATCAAAGAAACCCACATAATAAGTCCAAAATTACCAAAAAACATTTAGGTGTGTGAAAAACTACCCTGGATATTACTTTCATTTTCCCAAAAAGCCTAAAAAGGAATTAAAGTAAGAATTGAAAACTGAGGTAGAGATTTTGTTATGGCGCATGATATATATTAATAATATGTTATTATATATTTACTATGTTACTGTATATAAATATATGTTTTGCTGATCTCTGTGACTCTTTGGCGTCAACAGGATCCTAAAGAGTGGACCAAGATGGTCATCCACAACATCGCCGGCTGCGGCAAGTTCTCCAGCGACCGCACTATTTCTGAATACGCCCGAGAGATTTGGGGCATGGAGCCCAGTCTGGAGAAGATCGCAGCTCCTGACGACCCTCGCTAAACCACAACTACTACTCCTCCTACTCCTCTTTCTCCTCCCTGTCATCACTGTAGCTCCTCACTGTGGTCCAACGAGCCGATGAAGCCTGTAGCTTGTACACTGTGTTGTGTGGCATTACTGCTTACCTTACATTAGTTCTCCTTTTCGCCTCAGTGCACCAGTGGATCAGATCCTCACCAACCTGTCAACAAAGCATTAAACATGTTTTTCAGTATGTTTATTGATTAAAGGATTAAATATTTGTTTTAACATGTTAACCTTTATAACATCATATAATATTTCACATTATTATTTTGACATGCTAACAACCTAAAAAACCACTCTTCTGTCAGAATATGCCCCCTAGTGGAGAGATTATGAATACCTGTCTGTCAGACCAAACCAGACTAATTAAGCACTCCTACCATTTTTATTGGTTTGCAGTACATCAGGTCACACGGTCAGTATGAGATGTCACGTTGACATCATCACTAATACCAACTTTCATTTCAATGCGTTTCGGTTTCCGAGCTGCGCACACGTCTTCCAGGGCAGTGAGTGATAATCGTTGACCATGGCCTTAAAGCAGAAGAACATCCAAACCACTGCGAGTGTCTCAGCTGTTGTGTTGGTGTCTAATGTTTGCTGAATGTATCCATACGTGTGTGTAAACCTCCTCAGCATGTCTGCCTATCTCTGCTGTATTTCAGTGTTAGAAGCCTCGGAGCCGTAACAAACCTCCTTTAATGGAAACGCGCGTGTGTGTGTGTGTGTTCTGTGACGTAGCTGTGTGTTTTCCCATATAAGTCTATAGCACTGTGTAACTTTAGCTTTATCGATGTACTGTAACGGCCTGCTGTCCCGTCCCATCTGTGGTGCTGCAGAGACAGCTTGTCATTGTACCCGACATCAAAACTCTCACTCACTGCTTGTTATTTTTGTTCTTTTTAGTCAATAAATGAGAAATCTAATTTACTATTTTATACGTGCGTGTGATTTTTTCACCACTGGAACAGACAAGTAAAACAGCAATCAAGACATTCTGCAGATACATTTTCTTTCCACCACTGGAACAGACACAAGTAAAACGGCAATCATGTAAAGAAGACATTCTGCAGATACATTTTCTTTCTAGTATTAGTATTTCATATATTTACAGTATATAATATATAATTATAAGGGCCTAAGGTGGAAAGTGGAATGACTTAATTATAAATCTGTGGTGAGCACCAGAGTGGTAGTAAGAAATATATAATTGGACTTTTGTATTGATGCAATACAAAACAATAGCAAAAAGTATATGTAATGAAATACAACGATCTTACTGTTACAATTAACTCATAATTTACTTACTCAGTGTGAAACTTGGGCCTGTTTCGTTGATCACAACTACGGCAGACTGGGAGAAATTGAAGAAAGCCACACACCAAGATCTTCTTAAGTAGGTCTGAGTCCCTTGGGTTTTTGCTTTTACTGTACATGTCATCTGCTCCCCCCACGTGGAAGAGTATTTGTTTGTTTCACCTGTTAATGACACAAAGACGTACAAAGAGAAATTATTTGCAGTAAACAAATAACAGTTTTGAGACCAATTACGTAAGATATATATATAAGATATATACAGATACAGCTCAAAAATGTTGTGTGTGTATATATATATAAAATGGATGGATGGATGGATAAAAAGGAAAAAGTTTTTCACAATATTCAAAATTTTTAACTCTAACTTATACATTTAAATTATAGTATAATAGAGTATATATAATATAGTATCTAATAACTAGTATATGCTTGGCATTTCAAGCATTTTTTAAAAAAATGTGACAACACCAGAGAGTCCAGTTATGGACTGGTGATGGACCTGTCCATGGTGTACTCACCCTCACTGTCACTCAGTGACAGCTGGGATTGTCTCCATGTGCTATCAGTGTGAAATAGTAGGTGGAAAATTAACAGAGGGATTCAAATTGAAGATGATTCTAAACTAAAATAAATAATAATAATAATGAAGAAATAAATCCAGCTAAAGATTCTTGTTTAGGGAACAAAGGTTGCCCGGCACTCAGCCTCTTGTCCCACCCACATCCCCTGACGGACACTTGTCAATCAACATGTGTCCCCTCCTAGCTGTCCTATTAGAGTCAAATTCCCCTCTTTGTCCTCTCTGTTTCTTTCACCTGATCCCTGATTCCTCATACACTGAGATGGATGACAGCACTAACGGTAAGACGCGATTATTATTATTGATTTGCTCAAATTTTAAACATCAGAAAACATATGTCTTTGATGCTTCATTAGTACAAAATATATTGAAAAAAGTCGTTTGTTTATATTATATTATCTATTATGTTTTATGTAATCGAATTCTGTGCAAGCACACGCACCTCTGTTTAATCAAATATTTGACCGTAAATATACATAATATTGATTTAACAATATTAATTAAAAAAATTATCGTTTCAGATTTTGTTTTACAAATTTTTGCAAATTTTTTTGTCATAGTTCTTTACAGATTGACAAGGTGCCTGCTTTTCTTTGAATACAATATCAAGAATTAAAAATGGATGTCCTGATGCCTTAAACAATCTATACTTACATAAAATAATACTATATATATAATTTAATAATATATCATAGGACATTATATTATATACCACAATATAATAAAAATATAAAAATGTATACTTCTGTATACTTGATAATGTTTTTTTAAATGTATGTCCTGATTCTTAAACAGTCTATACTTACATATATAATATAAAATAATATACAATGATTTTGAAAAAATATACAATTGGTATATGTAGATATATGTAGATATAAATTATAATTATACTATACAAAACTGTAACAGCATAAACAGTGCTCCACCAATTTAAAATGCATGAAAGATATATATATATATATATATAAAACATAATATCCATCCATCCATTTTCATCCACTTATCTGTTACCGGGTCATGGGGGCAGCAGCCTCCACTCAAATCACACTGCACCGTACCAACCCCCCTGAACCTTCCTGCAGGTGGTGAGTCCACTGGAAGGTACCAACCACCCTAACTGGGATTCGATGTTGCCAAGGAGGATATATAAAATTATATATTTATATAATATACAAAAATAAAATAAGACCTCAAATATGCTTATGAATAGTCATTAGAGACTAACTCACAAACTTTTATGGTTACAAATATATAAACAAGCTATTTAGCACACGCAGTTAGCCAAATAGAAAAACTTTTACAGCCACACATACATGGTAACAAGAATATTTTTTCTCATTTTCTATTATAATAAATATGAAAAAGATTATATCAAAATATCATTTCAGGATTTTAAAATTTTTAAATTGAGAGAGCGATCAAATATCTAAAAAACATTACAAAATACCCAATGTATTTAAAGGATGTCCTATTCTTCACATCAAAGTAGTGCCACATAAAATACAGAAATTAACTGTCTCTCGTAAGTTCCATAAATAGCATCATATATTTAGCCAGATGGCAATTAGCTTTAACTTACTGTAGCGCTCCATTAACAAGAAAGTTTTTTTATTTGAAGTAAAACATATTTAAAAATATTTGGAAAACATTAGCTGGAGAAGGTTAGAAGGTTAAACTGTTACTAATGTTTGTTCACAATTAAATATATGAGTTAGTGTCTTCTGAAAGTCAACATTTTGTCTTACCTCCCAGAGCTGGACGCCCTGGACATCCCTCCTCTCACCCCCAGCAGTAATGAGGTCCTAAGCCTGGCAGTTGAGGCCAGTTTTGCTGGTTTCACTCAGGAACGAATCGCCTGTCACCTTCCACCAGGTACAGTCTGAAGATCCCGCACAGTGTTTAATCATCACTGCGGCAGCTTCCACTGAACTCTCACTGTACGTGTTCCCGTCCAGATCCAAGGCAGTGGTCCGAGTGGGAAGTCAAGCACTGGCTGGACTGGAGCCAGGCTGAATTTGGACTCCGGTGT